CCCTGAACCAAACCCAGTTGTTTGTGTGTGTACACCTGGTCTTCTCTGTGTTTATTATTTTAGCCATAATGATGAGGGTTTGGCACATGTTACCAACCCACAGCTATGATTCTGATTACCACCTTATACAGGCCACAGAATAATAACATGTGAAGCAGGTGGAGAGGAGCACAATGCTGAATCAAGGGAGAATATTTGTTACTTTCTAATAAAGTAAAAAATTTAGAATCTGTGGACACCTGACCCAGCCTAACTTTGTCAGATGATCCGGTTTTTAAAAAGTTACATTTACATCTGAACAAACTGTATTTTAGGAAAACGCAGTGAGAGGTTAAAAGGTTGTCATAGTTGCTCAGTGGTTAGAAAGGCTGAAAAGGGCGAAATCAGAGTCAGCAGTAAAATCCAAGCAATGAGAGTCACAGTTCCCCAGCATCACAGTAGAACCTGTGTACCTTGAAGACAACACCTTGTACCAAACCTGCATCTGCATCACATGAGCGCACGTGCAGGTGAGTATCTTCCTGCAGCTGTGAAGCCACAGCAATTACAGGATGGGACCTTGGCGCACTGGTAACAGGCCATAACCAGCTGTCAGGAACAAGCAGGCGTGCTGTGATGCTAATGGTTATGGATGCACTGAGGCCAGACAGTAGGCTGAGGAGCTTCGTGTTGTATGGCACATCAAAGTGAGGAAAGGGCTCAGAAACTCCTCGCCCACTCAGTGTTTTAAGTATGTAATGAGAGAAGTGCTCAGCCTTTAAATGCTGCAGTTTGGTGTAATCAAGGCCAGTGTCAATAAATGCAACAGCGGTTAGATGAATCAATAGCCTGCTGCTGGTTTAAGGACGGAGGAGGGGATTAGGGTTTGGGGGAGTTTTATTAAAAAGCAGGAGGTACAAAAACAGTCTTGTGAAACAGCTCTATTTAACTGTTTACTTCATCTTCTATTTAGAGCAGTAAATATTGCACTTTTTAAAAAAGGAAAATCACATGTAACAAGGTGCAGTGACACTGACATAATGCGTTTCCACCAGCTATGGTTGTTAGTTTGACAACAGAAGATTTTTCAGCAGTGGTACATGTCAGATTTGCTGTCAGACTGAGAATTCCCCATTTTAACCTGATGTTAAACACTCATTCAAGGACCTGGGACAGAATCATGGATTCCTCTTTACTTTCCTCAGCACATCCCAATCGTTCTCTATGTTTTGATATTAGAATTTTTCATAGTCAGATTTTGTGTAGTTAACTGTTCTTTATTTTTCTAGTGAAGGCCAAAGTACTGTTTAAAAGCCTTCTCCACTCTGCCAGGAATTTACACTAAGTGTTAAACTGCTGCTTTTAGACTCATATACTGACCAGTCAGTAATTGTAATGGTGTAATGTGATTTATTTCATCTTATTAAAACAGCACTGCACCAATTTTACATGTGAAGTTCAGTTGACTCTTTAGATTTAGAATCAGTCAGGATATTCTCAGCTTGGGCAGGAGGCATATAGTTTGTATGCATTACAAACTAAACAAGGTTTGAATGAAATAAAAGGCAGAGAAGGTCAAATGAAAACACTACCTAGTTGCATTGTGGGAAATGTAGGATTAAGAGCTAGACCCATTTACCCGTAATTCACACTAAGAGCTTTTTAGGTGCTTTGTAGACATGTTTTCTACATGCATTTTATGCATGCCTCACGCTGCAGATAGAATTCCATTCTATCAAATGTGTCAATTCACACTGATTCTGACACACACACGTAAGATATGCATCACCTCTGGACCCCTTATGAAAAGCTCAAAATATCTTAGCTTCTCCTTATTCTCATTAAATATCTTATTTTGTCCCCTATGCCAACGATAAGTCTTTACTAAACTGTTTTCCCAGTCGTGTGTTGGTGGCAATGTAATCGCTGGCCGGACCGTGTTCAGAGGCAATGTTGTTTGAGTGATTCATGTGTTACATTCATTAATGTACATTAGTTATGTTTAAACACATTATGTTTATAAGTACAAAAGCACTTTAATGTTAAGGTCAGGGAAATGTCATGGTTCTGGATAAATAAACTCATTGTGTACGAAGTCACTGTAAACCTTTTCTGTATTAAACCACAAATGCTGTAATCACCACAGCAAGATTCAATATTTTTGCAGAAAACAAATACATTATGAACATATTTCCCACCAGTCAAATACATGTAAATTATCAAATTCACCTCATCACACTAATATAAGTATTACATTTCCTTCAAAATGTATTTGCAGTTGCAGATTAGTTCTAATTTCTAAAAACCAGGGATGTTATGGAAGTGTGGTTTTAAATCTCTGGAGTACATCTTGATAACACCTTGAGTCCCAAAATAAATACCAAGGACATGACCTGAAGGTAGTGACAGTTCTCACAAGGACAAATTCACAACAGAAGCACAAAGATGCCAACGTCTGTATTGATTTAGCAGCCAAATTTTTTTTTTTTTTTTTTTTGAATACAAAGTGAAACTCACGCTTCTGTTCAAGTGGAACCTTTTTAAACATGTCCCTCACTCTCTTCATTTAAAATCCACAGCTGAATGCAACATGCTCACACCTATTCTCAGGTGCCTGTCAGGAAACATAAGAAATCCCTGACCCGAATACATAATGAGAACAAGTGAGCATGCCAACAAAATTACACATAACAAATTATGGAGTTTTCATTTAAACACATACCCTGCAATGCATTCAAGTGCAGAGTCAAATCAAAAAACCTTATCTTGTTTAAAGCAGATGATAAAGTCCAAACAAATTATTCATTTCTTATTTATTTGCTAAGAAATACAAACAATGCAAACATCCATAAAGCACCATTAACATTTTCAGAGTCCCAGTGTCCATATCAGTAGAAAAACAAAGCTATCTGTGTATCCCGCTACGAATGTGAATCAACCCAATATGCAACACAATTGATCCATGGAGAAGAAGAAGAAGAAGAAGAAGAAATTGCAAAACACCTTTAAAGTGAGTTTTAACACCTTGTTCAACACAATAAAATCTAAGATATAATGAAATATACAACATATCTGGTTAAAAAGGCAGAAGAAAAGAGGAACTTTACAATATTTACATATGTGATTGTATCTTTAATAAAAATATACTGAGATCTGTGGTATCCAAAACCAAGTATGTTGCAGATGCCAGAGAAACTGACTCTATTCAGCTGATAAAATAGTTCTGTTAGGTTTCAGTCATTTGTTTTGCAGAAGGCAAGACAACTCAAACAAGTGTTGAAATATCACTTCAAAATATACAAATAGCCAACATGACATTCGTGTAGAATGCTGGGAAAATTTCTCCAAAGGTGGGACATATCATGACACCTATAACTGTCATAGAGGCTGTATCCTATATTTGGAACTAATCTCCCTATAGTACATGCAGAGGTGTAAATGAAAAGGTGGCTTATCCATGACACCCAGATGGTGAGGCAGACAACCTAATAATGCTCTACCCCTAATATATCTTTAATCAGCCTGATTATGATAAGCAAAATATAGTTTACATCATAATAAGGTTTTATCAAATGAAATTAGTGGTTACACTCCTGCCACAAATAAAAATGTAGGTAAACCGAGCAGAAGTAGGTTCACCCTCCATGTGCCCATGTAGGGGATCAGTCTGTGTACATTCTAAGACAAGGTGTAATGTGTCTTTGGCAGTATGTTTGGGGCCAGCGTGGTTCAGATGACACAGTATGGCTCCATGGGTGTCTGAGTTCCCAGGCAGCAGGTGAAACAGGCTCTGAGTCTCATCCGGAGCTCTTTGTTGAACAAGAAGCTGATGATGGGGTTCGCTCCCGCCTGGGCGAAGCTCATCCACACCGCAGCGGTCAGGTAAAACTGCGGGACCGGGGCTCCCCGCACAAATATCCTCAGGTAGCAGGCGCTTATATAAGGAGCCCATAGAATGAGGAAGGTCAGTGTGATCATGTAGTACATCTTCCCGATCCGTTTCTCCATCTTAAACTCATCCAGCACCAGCAGCCTCCTGTTGGCGATGTGAGACGTGGAAGGTCCAGTTCTGGCTGATGGCCGGGACCAGCTGGGCCGGTTTCATTTTACGGTGATCGTAGACGAAGCACAGCATCTTTATGTAAACCACATGGGTCGTCCCCACGATCACGGCCAGCATCAGCATGAAGCCCAGGGTGTCGTTCGCCTTCACGTAGCGGTGCTCGAAGATGCACTGCTCCTCCTCACGGATGAACGTGTAGGTGCCCACATCGAACACCGGAGGGAAAGCCATGGCTACGGAGAGAGTCCACACCATGCAGATCACCGATATGCACGTACACAGATTCATCCGCTTGGAGTAAAACCTGTGGTGGGCGATCGCCATATACCGGGTGACGCTGACGCAGAACAGCAGGAAGGCGACGTGGAAGCAGAAAAGCACCGACATGAAGGCGACGATCTTGCAGCTGAGCGCGCTGTACGGCCAGACGGAGCCGCCGCCAATCGATGCCATCACAAAGGGGAAACACACAGCGGAGCGGACCACATCTGCAAGGCACAGGTCCAGAAGGAAATAGTAGGGAGCCTTGTGCAGCGAGCTGTCCTTCAGCAGCAGCAGCGACAGCGACGCGTTGCCCAGCAGGCTGATGCTCATGATCAGACCCAGCGAGGCCAGCTTGACGGCGGAGGCCGTGGACGCATAGTTCTGTAAGGACGGGCTGCTCTCCCCAAACTCACTTGTGTTCGCCATCTATGCAGTCGAGGTAGTGTGTACTCCCACATCAATTCATCGACGAGCGGTAGTATCCTGCCAGGGCTGAATGGAAAACAAAATCACGATCACGATTTTAGTCAGAAAAAAAAATCCACTTACAAGAATCCGTTTAACGTCGGTTCAGGTCCATCCCGATATACAGTGATCCCCACCAAAAACAAACCCATTTAACATTTCTTTTTCTTCTTCTTATCCTTCATCTCACAGCTGTCCGATGTTAAAAGCATCCCTGTCTGAGGTGCCGTTCTCGGCTGAATAGAGGCAGCCTGGTGTCGGAAAGCATCCATAGGCTACAGCAGACAAGTGGACCAGGAAACACATCTCAGTTTCCACCCATGACGGAGATCTTCGTTCGTCTTGAGCAATAAAAAGGCAGACAGTGCTGCAGCACGGCGCAGTTACGCATCCGCAGCCTCGTCGACTACAGCCAAAGCATTAGTTATATAGAGCCTGCAAAAGCAAATGTGTTTGTAAAAGCTGAGTGGAGGTCGTGGGCTCGCAGAGGTGCGAGCACCGTTGTGGGTCTGTCAGCGGAGCTCACAGTGGCGTCTAGTGTATGCGACGCACGTCCGCTTGCATGTAGTGAGCAGGCCGGATCAGGATTCTCATCTGGTCCTTGTCTGCTGCAGTCTGTCTATGCACTATACGCAAATGTTGACACATTGACACAGCTGGCCTCTATAAACACTGCACAATGCTGGATTCAAGATATGTTAGGAAAAAATATTGATTGTTTTTTATGTTTATATTCCAGATATTGAATGGAAATGTTGAACACAATAAATGCCAGGGCATAACCAAAGATTAGGTTTGTTTTCTTTGAGGCACACGTTCATAAACTGGCCAAAAGAAATTGATCATTTTAGAAAAATAAAAAACTGTTACCATTATTGATCTTCAAATGTCACCAGGTGTCATATTGTGTCTGTCCTCATTGTTTGAATGATCAATAACTGATGCTGTTGTTTTGCTACAAGTCAGTCATGCACTGTTATTCAGCTGCTCTTTTAACTCAATGCACTGCAACTCATCACATGTAGCTGTAAGCAAAATCTGTGCGGCACTGGGTTATTCACACATTTACAAATACAATCCCTGATTACTCTTTCTCCAGATATTAATGCCGTTACTTTTTATAATTCCAAACCAGAAAAAGTTGGGACGGTATTTAAAATCAAAATTAAAACTGAGAATAGTGATTTGTAGATCATCTGTGTCCTGTATTACATTGAAAACAATGCCTCATCAATTATTTTATTCTTTGTTCAATACAAAGTTATACATCAATATTTTCAGTTTTGATTTTGATTTTGCATACTGTCCCAACTTTTTCTGATTTGGGATTGTATTTCATGAACTTACACATAACTGGGTCAAGAATTATCAGAAATCGTCAGCTGATGATTAATTGTCTGATGCCTCAAACCTTGTGGCAAGTAATCCAGATTATAAAATGACATCGAAGGGCTTCCACTTTTAAATTTCCCCTGTCTGAAATGTCCATTTAAAACAATGACAGCTCAGGGCAACTGTGGAAGTCAAGACCTTTGGAAATTCAGGAAAACCTTCAAATATAACTGCAGATCTATGACAGAAAGACAATGTGAAACCCAAACTGCAAAAAGAGCTGACAGCAATGTCTGGAGAGGCCAGAGTTTTTCTGGAAGCAGGTGAGGTCTCAGGCCCCAATCACCGAAGTTGTGTTTGGAGGAAAATAGAAGTAGCATTTGATGAACAAAGACAAACCGCTGCCAACTGTTAAGCATGATGTTTGAAATATTCTCCTTTGGCAGCCACTGTCACAGAAAACATCGCACAGACAGAAGATTAGATTCCTTTATATCAGAAAAAATGTGATTGCATGTGGCTTGAAGTCAGTCACAAAAAGATGCTGGCTTCTCCAGCAGAGCTATGACCTAATGCAGTCCTCAAAATCCACCATGAACAATAAAACAAACAAACAAAAAAAAAAAAACACCAGCTGAAGCTTTTGAAACAGTTGTCCCAGTCCTCTGATTTTAACTTGAATGAAAGTCTGTGGGTAGATCTGCAAGACAGCCTAAAATATCTCAGAACTTGAAGCGATCTGCAAGAGGAGTGGATAAAAAAAATCCTAAATCAAGAACAGAAAGACTAGATGCTATAAAAAGTGTTGGCAAGCTGTGATAGCTGGCAAATGTTCTGAAATAAAAACAACAGTAACAGGGCATTAACGTTTGAGAAGAGATTCATTTTGATCCATGTTGGCTGTGGAGCTTATATTTGCCTCTTTCCACTTCAGTAGTTAACAAAATATGGAATTTCTCCAGGCTGTCCAAACATTTTCATACAGCTGTGGCTACAGAATGAACACAGTTACAGTAGCTAATCTTGAATGGTGACACACTGAAACCAACACTGAGGCTTCCAATGACGTAAATAGTTGCATAATACAGCAGAATGGTATCTAAGAACTGTCTTATAAATCCGCAGAGGCGAAAAGGATCTGGCAAAGAAGGTTAAAGATGATACCTTCAAGAGATATGGCAATGTAGTTGATAAGTGTCTTACAAGCAGCTGAAGAGACCTTTTGCCTTCTCGAAAAGCCTTGACCTTGCAAAAAAAATAAGGGCTCTCTTATCTCAAGAATAACTGTCTGCCACAGCTGTACAACACTTAAGGATAAAGAAAAGTGTAGTGTCAGCAATCTAGAACATATATTGTATGTTTGATATCACCAAATCACCAACTCTTGCTCTCAGCAGGACTTTGAACTACTGTTGCCATCATTTGACAAGGCTGCACTTGCTGCTGCTGCAGTAGGGGTGCAGTGGTGCACCAGCACCCCCTGCAGCCAGCTCCATGCAGCATCAGGAGCACAGCGAACCAGACGTAAAAGATGTCATAGATTTATTGAGAGAAGTAACAACTATATTGGGACCAACAATGAAACCACAAGTGACCAGAGCTCAACAGTAACGATGGTTAAAAGTGGCAATAATGTGTAAGCCCCTACTTGTGAAAACATAATTTTGCCCATATGTATGGGTCTTAGATTAGAGATGGTTAAGTTTAGCAGTGGGTTAGATGTTGTTATATTGACGGTAAGGATGGTTAACAGCTGAGAATTTGATTCCTGGGGATTTAAAACCTCATGTCCTACTTACTGTCGTGCAGGCCCTAGATACAGAACAGGTACTGTAACAGTTTGGGACAAATATCTACACACCAAAAGGAAATTGTATAATTATTATGTGTGCATTTGTCTAGATCTGAGTGTGTGCATTGCTAAGTTCACTATATCTTGATAACTTCACACAGAGAGCTCTCTTTGAAGGGGGCTTTATCAGCGACAGGCTACTTGGACCTTGTAGCAACCTACGGTGTTTTCATCAACAGACAGCAAGAGGCTTGAGATTGAAGAGGGCATAATGAGCTGATGCCTCACTTCAAGACAAACACTTGCATATTTCCCAGCTTGCAAAAGTGGGCATTGCTCTTTTTTCACGAGAGCTGGGTAAAAACTGCATATCAGAAAAAAGAGATAGTCAGGTGTGTTCACTAAATGTATATGAACTATCTAAACTCGACTAGCCACGTTGTTCTTTCCTGGTGAAGCCAATAGAGAAAGGGGAAGTTAATCTAGTCTACAATACATCGCCAGGATGAGTAACTTGTCTTGTTTACAGAATTGTTCCTCCTGAGAATCATTGGGCTATGTGGTTGTATGGTTGGTATTGTGTGCTATAAATGTACAGCAGTGCAGAGAACCTGTGGTAACCTCAATTTATCAGAAGAAATAGCCTACATAGCCTACTTAGCCATCACTCTACAGTCCAGTGTACTTCTGTGCCGGCTGGTAGGTGGTGTGTAAATCAGGTCAGTTTCTGCTGCCCGAAAACTAGGCAGAGTGAGCTCCCACAACTTTTTCCAGATCTCTGGGATGGACCAGCTGCGACGTTTCTGCCCAGTGACGCACAGACGTCACTGCTCGATAGGCGGAAAAGCGGTACTGTGTGTTTCTATACCTGGAGAGCAAGCAAAACCGGGCCGTTTATTAAGGAAAATCGTATAAAGGTTTAGGTTTTTCCCTGCTGAGATGGCGGTTCCCGGGGGACAGGCGGATTTACAGGTGGACAGAGGCGCTTTGAGCGGCCAGACAGTTTCCTCTGAGAACAACATTGACATCGACGAGAAAGAGTTGGAAAACATCACAAAGAAACACCGAGAAGACGATACGACAGCGCTGCCTTTGCACTCACCTTGGACGTTTTGGTTGGACAGGTAGAATATTTTTCTTCCACGTTGTCTTTGGGGTTAGAACCCGAGACGAACAGGAATTGTGGAGCCAAAATATTATTCAAGGCCACAGCTTTCCGCAGGCCTACAACAGCAAACATAGCGGGATAGTAGCTGCGTTTTACACGACCTTCTTTATTTACACTACGCAGTCTGACACCCCAGGAAAGGCAGCATTTTCACTGCTGTGTGTTTATTCGAGGTTAATGACACCTACTAGACTCGGTGGACATGTTTATCTTGCCATCTTTTATTTGTATTCAACAGTGTGATTCAAGTTACTTAAGCTCCGTTGCCCAGTAGGGGGGGCTGAGAGGGTCTGGGTGAAACTGAGAGTTATTCGGTTTCCTAGAGAGTTGGTCACAATACAGGACTGACTTTTTTTTTGATAACTTAGCTAAATAGGACGTGAGAGTCTGTAATACAGTGTTTCCTACATTTGGTTACTATCTTATCAAAATAAGAGTCTGTGGTGCACACTGTCTTCTAGTGCTAGTGACTGGTAACAGATAGCCTGAGTAGATAAAGGGTTGTGTGTGTGTGTGTGTTTGTGTGTGTGTGTGTGTGTGTGTGTGTGTGTGTGTGGGGTGGGGGGTCCATTCACTCACTCACTCACTCACTCAACAAAACACCAGCTAGTGAGAGGGTACCCGCCTGATGACCCTGTGGACGTGCCTTCACTCCTACATCCACACAGGCTCACTGGAATTGTTAATAGTCTTCTTTTGTTGTACAATCTTGGTAGAAAAGTGTCAGGACAACAGAGCAGACCCGACTCTCAGAGGTGACTGCCATTATGATCTTTGCTTGGGTCAGGATAGGGTTCAGGGACACTTTGTGTTAAGGGTAGGTTAGGTCTGGAAAATGGTGTTGCTCATTGTGGGGCTCTGAAGATTGATCACAGCATGGCCTGACACCCCCTCTTTTGGGCCAAATAATGGGTAAACATCATTTAACTGATATACGGAGCTTCCATTCTTTGGCACATTCAATTGTGTATTAGTGACTAGACTTTCCATTAAAATACACCTACATGTTACATTATGCCTTGCCTTCTCTTTCATGAGATCACAGGAATGTTGTCTGTCATTTTGATATCTTGGCATGAGATCTCATCACACCCCTCTTGTGGACTAATTATTGTGCTTGGATTTAAGTGTCAGATCAGTGATTCTCAAAGACTGGCTGGCAACATTGGTCACTGTGGGGGGGGGGTTTGATGAGAGAGAGACCCATCTGAACTGAATGAGCTATGGAGGTACTGTTCAAAGACAGTGTGCGCGCTGCACTGACTCCAAGCTGTGCAGGGCTCATGCTATTATGAGAAAATACAGCATGTTGTTATAATGATAAAATAGCCTATAGTATGTTGTTAAAACGAGGAGACGCAGTATGTCGTAATAACGTGAAAAATATGTTTTAACATGAAAGTATTATAATAAAGTATCTTGTTATAATGAGAAAAGTTTCTCATTAAAACAAGATTTACACTGCCAGTGGAAGTTCTTGTGCGTACTATGATATAATCTTGCTGGCGCCCCTCCACACGGTGGCAGGGTTTTGTGTGTGTGTGTGTGTGTGTAATAGCTGAACATGTTGAACTAAAGTAGTAATATATTAATGAAATAAACCCCTGAACTTTTTAAAGGACTAGCGAATTGCCAGAACATAGACCTTGTTAGGCAAGGACTGAAACAGTCATATAGTCAACCTATTGAAAATAAAAAAGATTAATTGAACCCTGACCATGTTTTGTCTTATGATTAAGCACACAGCTCATTGCTTTCTGTGTTCTGTCAGTGTATTGTCTACTAAGGGCTAAAACACTTTTGACTTATTCTTTCAGGTCATTGCCAGGCACAACAGCAGCAGAATGTGAATCCAATTTGAAGAAGATCTACACAGTGCAGACCGTTCAGGTGAGATCTGGTGTCCGCTTAACAAGCTTTGTTTTAGGAACAAACGGGTCACGTGTGTGAGTTGGTAAGAGTCAAAGTTGGTAGAGAAATGCTTCACTGATGCAGTGAAATAAACAGTTCATTGGCACTTAAAGCTAAAGTAGGTGAGAAATAATCAAACAGTTTTATCATAACATGAGCAGGCAGTGCATAGTTTATTGGGATTTTAAAGGGAGCCAGTGGAGAGAAGCTAATATGGGAGAGATATGATCTCTCTTGCTAGTTCCTGTCAGTACTCTGGCTGCAACATTTTGGATTAACTGGAGGGAATTATTGGGACATCCTGATAGTAAAGAGTTACAGTAGTCCAGCCTGGAAGTAACAAATGCATGGACCAGTTTTTCAGCATCACTTTGAGACAGGATGCTCCTGATTTTTGCAATATTGCGCAGGTGAAAGAAGGCAGTTCTAGAGACTTGATTTATGTGTGATTTAAAGGACATATTCTGATCAAAGATGACTCCAAGGTTCCTCACAGTAGTACTGGAGGCAAGAGCTATGTCATCTAAAGTAACTATATGATTAGACAGCAGATTTCTAAGGTTTTCAGGCCCAAGCACAATAACTTCACTTTTGTCAGAGTTTAGAAGTAAGAAGGTGCAGGTCATCCAGGCCTTTATGTCTGTAAGACACTAACACAGAGCCCTGTGGAACGCTGTGACTAACGTCAGTTTGTGTGGAACATTTGTCATTGACATGAACAAATTGAAATCTTTCTGATAAATAAGATTTGAACCAACTTAGCGCAGTTCCTTTAATCCCAATAACATGTTCAAGTCTCTGCAGTAAGATGCTGTGATCACTGGTGTCAAAAGCAGCACTGACATCTAAGAGGACAAGTATGGAGACGAGTCCTTTGTCTGAGGCTAGGAGAAGATCATTGGTGACTTTAACCAATGCAGTTTCTGTACTATGGTGGACTTTAAAACCTGACTGAAAATCCTCAAACAAATTATTCCTGTGTAAGTGGTCAGATAATTGCTTTACAGAAGCTTTTTAGAAATAAAATTGTGACAATATGTTAAGAAAAGTACATGCACCTCCCTACAAACTTCTTTGCATCATTTGCGTAGGCCAAGGAGTAATACTCAGAGTAAAAAGATTAGAGCCTGTATACTTATTTAATACTCCCCAAAATTATTATTATTCAGGCCAAGCTACCAAGCCAGAGATGTTTCTTTTTATAAATATTAAATATTGCTCTAGATGTTGGCTAAAAAAGAATGTCTTTGTGTTTATGTTCTCTGATGATTTAACTTCTCCTGTCAAGCTGAATCCAGAGAACAGGTTGTTGGTCCAAATGTGAGTGAATCTAGCTTCTAATTCACTGGCTGCTCAGCAGAGCAGTAGCACATGGACGACGTGTGTAAACATATCACAGTCTTTTGCACTAACCTAGTGACAGACAAGAACAACACTGACTGTAAATGTATAAAACAAAGATGGCAACAGATGTAGCCTTAAAACATTTAGATGATATAAATGTAAAGTGCAGGATAAAAATGATGAAAACAAGGCAAAAATATATTTGGATTTCAATGACCAAAACAAGACTACAACTAAACAAAAATGAAAATTTGACTAAAACTAATATGCATTATTGTGAAAAGACTAAGACAAACAAAATCAAAGTCAGGAGCCAAAATTAACTCTGGATCCATGTCTGTGTAATTTGCTTGTGTTGTGAGGTAACTGTTGACTGATAAACCATTATCAAAATATCAATATGAGCCACAAAATTCCATTAGAGGTCAGGCACTAGACATTACCTGTCTGTTTTTGTTTTTTTCTGTTTGCAGATGTTCTGGAGTGTATACAACAACATCCCCCCCGTCGCAGCGCTGCCACTGAGATGTAGCTATCACCTAATGCGCGGAGAACGGAGGCCACTGTGGTGAGTCTGATAGCAGGCGTTCAGACTGAGTGCATTGAAATGCAACCTGTTGCATGACGCAGGGAGAATGTCATGTAGGTGTGTATGATATGGTCACGTTGTAACGAGTCGACCTGTGTGTCCTCATTCACGTTTCAAGCCTGTGAGTTTCCTTTGTGTTTTGGTTCGACATGCTGCTAACGTAGCCTACTCTGCCTTAGTACCATTTTCTACCAACATGGTGTCAGCATGAATAGATAAAAAAAAAAAAAAACACACACAGTTTAACATCCAATAACTAACAAAAATGCATGGCTTGTCATTGCGTTTTTAATTGTGGTCCAAATTTGAGAGTGAATATCACTGAATGCTGATGGTAACATGGTAAACAAGCCTGCTTCCTGTGGGTATCCACGTACCAACCATCCACCGTTTCGTAATTGGTCAGCCGGATGATCTCCCGGTGCGTTGCAGAAAAAGTTAAACCAGATCCAACTTTTTCACCGCACGGGGCTGCATCGTTTTACCGGCGCCCCCTGCAGTGCTGGTGCCGGCTGCGGTGACCACTGTCCCACATAGAAATTAATGGGAAGGTCTGCATTTTTTCCACACTTTTGAAATTCAGTCTGAACACAGCCTTAAATCAGTAATGAAATTTTGTCACAAAAGTCTGAGAGTTGTAAAATATGTTTATATAAGTGTATAATAAAAGCTTTGTGTATTACAGTGATATTTGTAGGATACTGTTTTGTGTTACATGTTAAAATTGATGGATATAAAATAGATCTTTTAACTATCCAGCAATTTGGATAATTTTTACATTATCCAATGCTTTTTTTCTGTAATAAAATAAAATGTAAAACTGTATGTTAACTCAGTTTAGATTGTAGAGCTTCTAATGGTTTTATGACTATATTCCACCAGGGAAGAAGAAAGCAATGCAAAAGGAGGAGTATGGAAGATGAAGATACCAAAAGAAAGCACTGTAGGTGTTGTGCTCTATTTCAACTTAATAGTTACTTTTAACCCAATAATTTCACATATTAATATGTGATTGAATTATTAATTAACTCTGTGTTCTTGTCTTAGTCTGCAGTTTGGAAAGAATTCTTACTTGCTACTATTGGGGAGCAGTTTGCAGATTACTGTGCCTCAGGTAAGCTGCTATGCATACTGTTTGTGTGTGTTTAGAAGGTGAAGATTTATTCCTCCTTGATGAATACTTTTTGTCAACATAGCAGTTTTATTGATGAGTACTTACTGAGCATTTACTGCCCATTTTGTCTTCTGTTGTTTTTCTTTCTTTTCTTTTTTCCCCAGATGATGAGGTTGTTGGTGTCAGTGTTAGCGTTCGAGATCGGGAAGATGTTGTTCAAGTCTGGAATAGAGATGCATCTCTTGCTAACGAAGCAAATATCTTGGGAAAAGTCTACGAACTCCTTCCATACATACCTTTTAAAGCTGTTTTTTATAAGTGTAAGTATGCCCATTTTCTCCACTTCAATACGTTGTACTTTTTGGATTTTGGATTTAGAATGAGTTTAAGCCTTGCAGATTCTCTGTCTTAATCACGGTAAAAGTGAGACTGTTGGGAAAGACTGAGCTACTGTATTAGATTTGAAGGACATAGACCCATGACACACCAAGCCGAAGGCTGGCCGTCGATGAGCGTCTGTCAGCTTAGCGAATCAGTGCACGAGAAGTTCTGGAAAACCCTTTCAGCCTGTCACTGTAGTATCCATGATTTCATGCATTTAGTGCGGTTTTTCAGCTCTGTGACCTCCTTTCTTCTTCTACAACCAAAAGATTGAGGGCAGAGAATGGCGGCGCTATTTCTAACTTCTTATCAGACATATCCTCGATTAGAAGCAGCTATAAACAGCAGCTGTTTTGAACAACAGCTGCTTTGTTTACAGCCTGTATTTCCACTGTCTAGCTGCTCTTCTTTTCCTTTGTGAATGACAAATGCAGATACTGCCACCTACTGGGAGGGAGAGGTATTTCTCTCATGCAGGTGCAGAACATGTGTGCTAGTTGGCCGTTGGCTGTAGTCTGTGCGATGCGTGCAACTTTTTCAACCCAAGTGGTCCAGACAAAGGCGATGTGAGGTGACGCAACATTCAGCCTATGTTGCTGCTGGTTCTCTCACATCGGCTTGGTGTGTCTCTGCCCATAATTCCAGCTGAAGGATGACGTAAGTATTGTGCATGAGTGTAGGCTAAACAAGGTTTTACCACTGTTGCAGAGAAGGCAGCTATCCCCATAACATTTCATACTTGCTCCCCACAGCACATTAATATGGGGTGGTCTTGTGATTATTTAATAAACACTTTTTACCATAATACTAATATACTACAATATTTTATGTTGTGTTTGGTGTAAGCAGGTAGACTTAACTTGTATTTTGTATTCAAATCAAATCAAATTTTATTTGTAGGGAGGAAAAACTCCCTTTAACGTAAGAAACCTCCGACAGACCCTGGCTCTTGGTGGGCGGCCTTCTGCCTTGACCAGTTGGGGTGAGTGGATAGAGGAGAGAGAAAAGAAGAAAAGCAACAAGACACAACAATCAAACACTGATCAGGTCAATGTGGCTGGGGACTGCTCGTCAGAGATGTAGAGCTCCAGGGCCAGGGCAACCTGCAGAAAGGTACAGGGAGAGAGAGAGGACACACTACGGGAGAGAGGAGACACACAGTTAGTAATGTGTAATGGTGGCATATAGAAGCATAGGGAGAGAGAGGAGGGGAGAGGAGAGCAGGAGGGGAGGGGAAAGAAACTCAGAGCATCATGGGGTATTGGCACAAGACCTTTTGTTTTACCTTTTCAGGTTGTTTGTTCCTTTAATAATCAGATCGGAGGTTGAATGTATAATTTTTTTTTCTATGGTCAAGGTCTAAACTGTCCTACATGTGAAATGGTTTTTATTTATTCATGGCAAACAGGTCAAAGGTCTGTACTCACCATGAGTCTCTTGATGTTTTCAGCTCACATGGAGCATCATGCCTTTGAAGGAGGACGCTCAAGACATTAGATTATAAAGCACTTTTTTTTAACCTGAACTCTGTATCTGCCTTGGCATAAAGGCTCTGTCCACAACCTAATCAAGGGTATTATTTTGCATTCAACAAGGAAATGTTATCAATATATTTTTATAACTTTTAATGATCGATGCCTTGTTTCATTTTGATGTAGGTCCTAAAGCTCTGAACTTGTCAGAGAATGTACATCTAGCAGACTTTCTCACTCAGAGTTCATTGGTTCATGGTGGTTTTGACTTCCTCTTATACTGAAGTGTACTGTCATGGTCCTGTTCTCTGTATGACCTATGGACCTTACAATTTATCCCTGGTAGAGAGGTAGCAGCTACATATTCTAGTATGTTTTAACAGTTGGATATGTTAGATTTCTCAGTTCATGCCATGTTTAAATTACGTCTGCATATTCAGTGCCAAAGCACTTATCTGCCTGTTTAGGCAACATGTCCTAATGATGAAAATGTTTTTACTCAGCTGGCATTTTCCACTGAAAGTTCAGTTTGCTTTTGTGAGTCTTCATCAGCTTGTATCAGGGTAACACTTGGAAATATTGCACATAACTGCCCATTCCAGTCACAGTGTCCCTCAGCTAAAAGCCATCATTGGGAACTGGAACATATTTTAGCACAAATATGGTGCTAAGATACTTTAGAGTTGGTTCCCAAGATATTTTTACAGCTTTAGTTAAAACAAAATTCATCCCAAAAGGTAGATCTTTAAATATTCCCAGCCATATTTCTTTCAGTCAGCATGTTAAAAGTAGACCCTCCACTCTCTTTAATGGAGTCATAGACTGTTTGGTGTATTTGTGCTCAGTTAGTAGTGCTCTTTAGTTTTTGTATGTACTTTCCCTGACCAATAAATCAAGTTTGCTTACTGGACTGTGTCCTTATAATAATAACAAACAGAGAAAAATGCAGCATTATTTGCTATAAAATCTAATAATGGGTCAAGCTTTTCCCTTATTTAGCATTATAAGATGATACAATATGTCAAGTTTTGTTATTGCAGAAGATGTGAGTTTCAGTAACCATGTCCATAATAATAAATACCACCAATCTCAACTGGGAGAATAGAAAAAACATATTTTTCTGTTGGATCTCTTTACCAATGCCCAGTCTGAGGTACCTTCACTGACACAGTTAAGGCTTACATAGTTTCATTACTATTTTATTGCAGTGTCAGCTACCGTAAACTGAACGCTTCTGGTATTACTGTATGTCACATCACTTTTATAGTTCAACCTTGGACTGGTTGACAAGTTAGTTATAAAGGGAGAGTATTTTCTGTGTAAATATGATTTTTGCAGTGACATGGACAAAGTAAATAAAATGAAGATGAAAACAGTCATTATCTGTGTAACTTCTTGCACGGTAAAAATTAGGTTGTGCATTAATACCCCACTGATTTTGAGTTTTTGGCCTATGCCAAGTCATTTTGTTCTGTGTTGTTCTGGTTGCACATTCACTCAGAGTGCTCTCACCCAAGTCACGACAGGAAATGACTCTCAAAGAAAAACAGTAAAGCTCGAAAAATGCAGTGTAACAGTGTCTCTCCCCATGAAGACCTAGTTTTGAGTGTTTGGTACTTATTGTATTTGTGAATTTCTCAGCTGTCACGTTATATTTTTTGATTAGTCTCAGTGTGATAATAGACCTGTGTTACAGCAGACATGTGACTTCTTAACAAAGTTAATGATGACTGCATTCTAATTAAATGTTCCAGTAAGCTGACTGTGAGCCAGCATGTCAAGTACAATATAAGAGTTTGTCATACTGTAATTAATTTTATTTTTTTACATCTGTGCTTTTCTTGCTGTGATTACAGCAGCATTATTACAATTTTTGTCCTCTTGGCTGCTGCACATCGAGCTGTAAAAGGGAAATACACATTATCACCTTATAACATTTCTATGGCTTATCTGTCAGAGAGAAGTTACTTATTTACACATCCAGAATATTCTCAATCATTTGGTTTTAATTCATTCATTTCTGGCCACCAGGCAAGTATACGTCGAATATTTACTCACTTTTAGCTCTGTTGTTTTCTCCACTGGCTAATATCTGCCAGGTTAGTTTAATAACTTTGTCACTTAGTGCTTGTAGTTAGTGTGCAATGAGTTTATTAGAGCTGAGAACAGCTGTTGTTGGGAACAAGGTTAATGAGTAATGAGAGTATACCAGATCAGGAAAGTTGTGGGCATAAAACCATTTAGCTATGTAACTGTAATCGGGTACAATTCAGGATCCTGTATGAACCCACCCAAGTAATCTACGGTATCTGTGGAGGTTCTCAGACCCTTTATAGTCAGTCTAGAATACAGTATGCATTCAGCTATTTTGACAGAAAACCTCATGACAGTTCTATAACTTTCCACAGCAACCTCTGCAGCCTAGAGCCAAACCACATAAATTAGTTTTGATTTCTTAACATGTCTGAATAGGCTGAGGGTGATCAATTACACAAACAGCTTGCTTAGGTTTTAGAATGACTGCATGTCCCCTGGAACTATAAAATGATTTCAGAAAACTCGTCGGTAATTTGGAAAACCATCACAGAGTGTGCACTGATCGTGCCTACATGTTCACAGCCAGTTGAAGTGATTTTAACAATTGCTACAGAGCCCAAATTTTAAAAAGCAGCACCTCAGTTAGACTTTGAGCTTAGACAAACTCTTTGTATGAAAACTAGTTAAATGTTCTAATAATGTTTTAAAGACCATCACATCTAAGCTTTAGGGACGTTACTGACATTTTAATAGTTGTTCTTTCTACTACAGTCTAATTATTTGGCATAATTCATCATCTGTTTAAGGATAAGTTTTAAGTTTATTAACCGCATTGTTACAAAACGTGTTATAGGTTTGCACTGCCCTTCTCAATAAGATGCTGGCATAGATCTTAGATGATGCTTGTTATGAACACTAGACCTAAAAGGCTGATTGCATGATGCATGCTTTGGTTAAACATGTAAGAGAGGGGGGCTTCTCTGTAAGAATGTCCAGACAAATAATACCTTTCAGACATAATGTCTTTTAAAGTAATTATTGTAAAAAATCCCTATGTCAAAAAATATTCACATCATAAATATTTTAATGTCTCAAATTTGTAGAAAAAAAAGGCACTATCTCAAACTTGTCCTCATATCTCTTTAGATATTTATTTATGTTTGAACTGAAAAAATGCCATCGACCATAAGAACACTGCAGTGTTGCACAAGGTATCCTGTTTTTTTCACAGTTCTTTAATGGCCTTTATCTCAGCACACTCTTCCTTTCATTACATGCTGAATGCTACGGACCCCAGTATGAAATGGCATGAAAGCCATCCATTTCAATTTAGAAATCAAGAGGAGCTCTTATTCATTTGCTTAATTACCTAATTAACAGAAAGCTAATTACTTTGTTGTGTGTATGCCTATGTGTGGAGAGGCTGTTACATAACTGATAGTGATCCTCAATTAATTTGTAACTACACTAAATCAAGTCAGGACCTTAATCCACACAACACATCAACAGCGTGACACCAACAAAACATGACAATAAATTCATGGCTGCTGGGCTCTGCTGGGCTCGCTGCTGATACAGTATCGACATTGCTTAGATTATGTGTTAGACTGCCTTCACAACACTTTTCATTCGTTTGAGTTTTCTTATTAATTACACCAGACAATCGTGTTTACAACCTTATAAAAGCTGCCGTAATCCTATGAAAGACTGTAAGATTGGCTCAATATATAGTACAGTTCAAATCATAGCGCACTGCAAATCCTGTTAGGAATATAATGGGAATTTTGGTGTAGAATACCGTAATGCCATCTGAGTGAAAGAGAATAGCCAGATAGCTTTTATGGCAAAGTAGTTGTTTTCTCTTAATGTCAAAAGTGAAATATTTCACCTTACATTTCAACTACCAAGTTCTTTCAGTTGCGTCTATGGATGCATGTGAATGAGTTCATACTGTACGTCTAAGTCCAGATATCTCTGCATTGTTCTGACTTCATGGACCCAGAGGTGCACGCTGTCCTGATGCATGCGTGTCTTTAGGTTAGGCTACTTGTTATTGATTTCCATGCAACTCATCTATGCATTTCACAGTGTGAAAGTGGCACTGTTTCTAGCTTGATGACACAGTGGGAGATTCATAAAAAAGTAAACATACACACAGGTATAGAAATATATAGCTATTAGCCTGCTAGGTAGGCTAATAGCTATTCAAACAGTAGGACCTACTGTTTGATTAATAGATGTTTATGAAGTAGCTACTTGTTACATAGGTGCTGAAAATGATGGTTTTCTTAAATGTTTTCCTCCAAATGTTTTATATGCTTTTTAATGTATGTAAGATTTCTTTAACAGTATAAAGGTAGCAGGAAACAGTATGTTGTGTTTTT